CAGAATTGTTTCCAATATATTTTCACCGTACTTTCCAGTTCGAAGCTCTATTTTTTAAGATCTCATATTCTTGGTGGTAAAGTCACGTAGAAGGGAAATAATAAAATAATAAAAATACAACATAATCAAATTCTCTCGACGTTTCGGCCACAACGCAAGCAGCCGTCCTCACGTTGTGGCCGAAACGTCGTGAGAATTTTTAAATGTTTTATTTTTTTTATTTTATTATTTCCCTTCTACGTGACTTTACCGAAAGAGCCAAGAATATGAATCCCTGCAGTCACGAAAGCTTTAAATCGAAATCTATCGTCTCGATCATAAAAATACAATGGTAATAATTTATAGCCATCCGTCAGCCCACTGTTGGATGGAGGTCTCCCCACACATCAGCCATGGAGGTTGTTTGACCATACTTCACCGCGCTGGTCAAGTCTGGGTTGGTGAAGTGGGAGGGGTGACCTAGGAGCGGTTCAGACATCACCTGCCACTGATGTTCACCACGGTCGGGAGTCGAGCTCAGGTTGCCGGGTTCACAGTCGAAGTGCCCGAACCACTGCGACACTGAAACCCCTCCCATCAACACTTACATCCTCCAAATTAATTTAAAACCTTTATTGGATTGGGTTTCTACCGACCTGAACTGCAAAGTCACTCATCGATAATGTCTTCGCGTCGACTCAATATATGTACAGTATGTTGAACTTCTTTCACGCCGTACGTAGCGAACCGTGCCAGTCGTAGGTGCGGTCAAGACACATGGCCCTGTGAATACTGTGGTCAGCACGAGGTGGTGACGAGGGCCCACGGGACCAGTTCAGGCATCATTCGCTACTGACAACAGCGGTGGTTGGGAATCAAAGTCGGGTGGGTGGGCTCACAGCACAGTGCGCTAACCACTGCACCACCACTCACACACAATTGTGTTAACACAGTAAAGTTTTTTTTAATTGTTGTTGGAGCAGATATACGTTGGCTTGGGCAGGACAGACAATGTCGTTGGAAGGGGCATCTGTTAAAAAGAGCTTCATAGCTCATCGGATTTCTCCAGGATAAAAAGAGACTGATTCTGAAAGATTATGAGGGATGGGGATGATGGCCACTGTTCAAGACGAGCGTCGGAGTGACAGCCAAACCGCACCAAGGGCACGTCCGCCGTGGAGATGGATCAATGAAATCAGCTTGGTGCCAGATGGATTGCTACATCACAGGAACATGAGGGGTGGCGACAGGTTTTGGAGGCTGTCATCTAGCAGTGGAGTGATCATGACGGATGACGATGATGATTTCAGCAGCTTCGTTCGAGGAATGTTGAGCATTAAAGCAGCTGTTCACTTGGAAAGACACTGAAATATAATACGTATGCGTACACAGGGTACTGTACAGCAAAGCTATGTGCGACTCGACTGGCCAGAATATAATTTATTCATATTTTCACGTAAAAATATGTGTATCACAAAATATCACCGCTGATCTAGCAAAGCTTTATCAAGTTAGAGACATTTTTTTCGGCAGGTCCTGCTTAAGAATCGTTGACAAAATAGAGTGTGGCCCAAAAAAACAGGACACAGGGATATTTAATTTATTTGAAAAGTATTTTATGAATAAAACGATATCAGATACACAGCACAGAGAATATGAAAAGCAGTTAACACCAGCACGGATTGCAGTGCAATGGAAACATGTCATGATTAAAAAAAACTGTTTCAATAAACTCTACTACCCCTAGTGTCTTCCTAAGCTATGATACCCCTGTAGGGAAAAAAGAAAAAGGGATGGAGGGAGCGGGGGAGTGCCTCAATGCCCTCATGAATGATCTTCAGAATCAATGTCCACTGGAGGAGAGGGAGCGAAGGGGTTCTATGTTAGGTGGTGAGCTTCCTCCCTGCCCCTTAGTTTTGCACTTAGATGCTCTGGAGCGGCAATTTTTGACAATATGTAGTAGCATGGTTAGGCATTGTGTATATTCCCATTCATCTTTACCTGCAGTAGCGGACATGAGTCAACAGGTAGACAGGCTAGGTAGGATGAGCCGGGCCGTTGGGCCACTAGGGTCCCCAGACCCCAAGAGGGGGGCTGGGGGATATCCCAGGGCCCCCTAGAGAGTCCCAGAAGGGAGGCGTGGCTGGGGCGGAGAGACACCCTGGAACGGGAATAAAAGCCGGACCCCTCAACGGGTCCGACAGTCCTCGTCCACTTGAAGACCTGAAGACCCGAAGAGCTACCCTGAAGACGTGAAGCGAAGAGCCCAGTGGGCAGAACCCGGACCCCTGGCGAGGGTCGAGTTCAGATCTAACCAGTGTAGGGTTAGCTCTGTAACCAGAGTCAGGGCAGTCCGGAGTGGGGCTACCTCCTTAGGATATTATCGCGTGTGAGGGGCCGTTACCCCTCTGTGTCATGTCCCCGAGTTTGTGATAAACGTGTTGCCTCGAGCGAACCGTCTCCCTCGTCGAGGGCCCACGACAAGAGTATTGGCCCATTCCTGCAGCGTTGGGGGAGCGTGCTCTTTCCAGTTGGCTATGATGGTGCGTTTTGGCATAACATTGAAAATTGCAATGTATTTGTCTCTCTGGAAAGACCTTGAGGTTTCAACCCCATATTTTATTTTATTTTAATGAGCTAATTTACATATAGTGACATGAATTCATGCATGCATTCTCTTTCACATTTTTATTTAGGACCTTTTCTAAGATTACTAAGTAGAATCTCTGAACGTTCATAAATTATGTTTGGTCTCTACTCATTCAGGGTTCTTGGGCGAGTTTTGTAAACGACACATGTCAAGTGACTCCACAAGCATAAGATATAAAAATTTTAGAATGATAGATAAAACATTAACTTAAAGAATGCACGATTAATTTGTTTTAATTCCGACGTTAAAATAAATGAAATAGCCCCGTTATCCTGAATTTTGGGCTACGCTGTTTAACAGACGCTGACATTCTTTGTTTTTTTCGGTAAAGTCACGTATAAAAATAAAATAATAAATTAAATAATAGCATACGACGTTTCGATTGCAACACAAGCAATCCTGCAGTCACGAAAGCTCCAAAATTAAGACGCTGACATGTTCGAAAGTGACAGCTCCACCACGTTTCTGTTCAATTTGCTGTTCATCCGAGGTCTCAAGTACAGCCACGTGGGATCCTGTGAATCCACCAGACGGTATGGGTGAGGACCAACGACTGAAGTGTCATCCTTTGTCCATTCTTGTCCCATCTCATCATTGGCCATGATCAATCCACTGCTGAATGAAAGCCTCCCCAAGCCATCACCATTGCTTAGGGTCTTCCAATGCAACAATCCATACAGCACCTGCACACGAGCTGATTTGATTGCTCCATCTCTGCGGTGGACGTAAACTTTGGCTGCCACTCCGTCATTAATCTCGATTACTGGTCATCGTCCCTTCTAGCGACGCGTTCTAACCAAGACCCACTTACATTTTTTTTTAAGTCAATTGGCAACACGCACATCCTTTGCACGTGACTGTTTGTCCGTCCATCCCTCCGGACGGAAAAGCCAGCCAGCAAAACTTTTTTTCAAATGAGAATGACATGGTGTCTCTACTTTACGTATGCCCTCGAAGCCATGTGTTCCTCTTTATTTATCTGAGTGTAATTTCCAACCATGGCCTCTCCACGCTTCCTTGCACACTTTCTTGTTTTTTCCCCGCATTGTTAATGTCCATATTTCTGATCCTCACGAATTTAAACGTTTGTCTTTAGCCATTTAAGAAAATAGTAATGTATTGTTCAAGTTTGCATTGAGGCAGTGCTCATTTCCTGTTTACAACCCTGAGCAGGTGGTGGAAATTCACTACGCCTATGGTAGGGGTGAGTCTATACATATGAAGACTGTTGACTTCCCCGCAAAGTGGTACTTATTTTACAGAACCTCGGTGGATGATAGGCTGAGTCAATTCCCAACCAGGATTTGAACCCGCAACCTTCCAATCGCGAACGGCTGACCCACGTGGCCAGTTAGGCACATTGTTGCCTTTTCATATCGTTCCTCCAGCCTATCGTTGTCTGCCTCTGTATATCATTCAAATGTGATCCTCGTCCAGTTGAAAAATACATCTGCAAAACGTGTGGCATCTCTTTGCACCGAATAAACATTCACAAAGGTGATACGATAAATGTTTGTGTGTGTTTACTCTGAACTTCATTCGCACTCCACGTAGCCAACCGTGCCAAGACACTAGACCATACGGGAAAATCTTGACCAGTAGGAAAGGAGCCTTTGGTGCATAAAATACAGAGATGAAGACATCTTCCGTTCGGGCGCCTAAAGAGAACGAAAGGCCTTGGGCACCGCGATGTGTAAGAGGAACAAGAAGCGAGCCGTGGGTTGACGGCGTCGCGAAGGGACGGCGGCGGGGCGACATTGCCGACATGCACCACGTCACGACGTCGACACGACGTCCTCGCACGACGCGAGACGTCACAAGGGGTCACGTGGCGCGTCATCGCGTCAGGCGGCGTGCCGGATTGGCGCGTGGCGTCTTCGCTTTGGCCGAAAGGGCTCGATCCATTTACTGCGGGGTTTTTCTGTCGCCAAGTTTTGGGCAAAAGCTTTTTTTTCTCTTTTGACCCAATTTTTACCGCTTTTCTTAAAATAATATTCATCTATACGCCTATGGTAGACAGATGGACAGACGGCCAGAGCTAAATAATGCATGGACGCTTTCGACCTCAATTGAACGCCCTGCAGAGAAAGCTATTGCCATGACCAGAAGAAAGGAAGGAGCGGAATGTGACAGCCCGGTCCGATCGTCAGCCGCAAAGCGACGACCGACGGAAGAGAGATAATGCAAAAGTTTGAAAAAAAAGAGGAAATGATGAACGAAGCAAAGTGCCGACTACACCGAGCATCTTCTTGTTTCCTCTGATCGTAAAAAAGAGAGAATAGAGGCTATGAAGAACACAGCCTCCGTCTGCAACGCCACAGCTCCTGTGACGCACTCACTACCCTCCCCTTGCCCGTGCCCTGCCCCCCTGTGGCCACCCCCAGCCCTGCCCCTCGCTATGGGGGTGCGGGGGGCAGCCAAAGAGCCCCCGTTCAGCACTCGAGAGCAGCAGCAGCAGCATGGATCGCGCGGCGTGGCTCTGTGCTGTCCTCACCGCGGCTGGACTGGTGATCCTCGGCACAGGTAAAGAGGGGAAACATACACACACACACACAACACGACGCACGTGTCATTGGAGATCATATAGAAACAGGTTGACGTTTCGGGCAATGGTCCTTCTTCAGAGCAGAGAGAGGCAGCAGAGAGATTGACGGACTCGTAGTTGATAGCCAATGACCGTCAATAGAGAAACTGCCCATTTGTCAATTCAAAGTATCTTGCCGACTTTCTTAAAGTCCCCCAGATTGATCAGCGCCCCCCTCCCCCTCTGGTATAAAACTGTGATCTCCAACTATAAGTCAGTCTTGAAGAAGGGCCATTGCCTGAAACGTCTTTGTATTTTTTTCTAGCGAAGCGGCATCATTGGTGCACGTTTGTGAGCGGTTTTATTTTAGCTGTGCCTGCACACCGCTGCCAGCACGATCCTTACATTTGTTATTTAATTACGAGCAAGCGGAGAAATATCGACGACTGTTACGATCCACGTCGACCAGTGGTTCTTAACCTTTGCTGGAGGCTTCCACCCCTTTGGTTCTCAATCGTAAACAATTTTTTATAATGTAAATAAATACATAGGGTTTGCTGAAACACAGCAGTTGTACTTATGTGCCCGTCCTAAATATTTTAGTTTTTTTCGGTAAAGTCACGTAGATCAAAGTTAAAATAAAAATTAATAAATTACAAATTTAAAATAAAAATAAATAGAAAATAATTTAAGCAAAAAACCCACGACGTTTTGATCGCAACACAAGCGGTCTTCTTGTGTTGCGATCGAAACGTTGTGGGTTTTTTGCTTTTATTATTTTCAAAGTATTATTATTTTTTATTTTCTATCTACGTGACTTTACCGAAACAACCAAGATTATGAATTCCTGCAGTGACGCAAGTTTTAAGTCAACATTTGCCCGTCCTAAATTAGCGTTTTCGATTATTTACCTTCGAAAAAAAATCTCCCTACGTCTCGCATCCCCAGAAAGGGCATCTCGCAGCCGCCAGGGGATGCGTGCATCCCAGGTCGAGAACCACTGACGTCTACCATCTTCGCTTTAGACCTTCTATATGTACACATACGAATTTTATTTTTTATTTTCATTTGCCTTGACGTTGCAATGTTCCCATCTACACTGGGACTGGTGTTTTTGGTCTCTCTTTCCGCTTTCATTTGCTTCATCTCCGCGTCGTTTAAGTTCTGCACTCTGAATCGGTTTTGTGGTTACGACGCTTTTCAATTAAGCCGGTTCTCTCCCTCCGACACCGATACTTATTTTCACTCCCAAACACCTCTCAACAAGGTTAATTGATATCGTTTAACACGTAGGCTTTCGCGACCAATATCATCCACGACGTTTCGCCAGTCATGAAGTATTACTGGAAAAACGTCGTACTCAGATTGTAAATGTTCTGGCTTGGCTCTCCAGCACACCGGTGTGCTGTACTAGTGACGAATTGGCACGTTCTGTTCACGTGACAAACCTTACTAGTTGGCTGTGTCGGGTGGTGGTGGGTTTAACGACACATTTATATATTTACGCGATCTAAGCCAACGAGTACCTTACACCATCGTCATCAATGTCATCATCATCATCATCCTTCGTCCAGCAGGAGGATACATATTGTACAATCAATATATATTGTTTATCCACTACTGGCCAGTTGTACATTTAACAACACGCAAAGGCGTGCTGCTAACATACGGCGGTATTACTCCAAATGTCGCTTTCTGTCGCTTGTGAGCAGCAGACCTTAGTGTGCTGGTAAATAATCTGTTGCTGCTGATGAAGATGCCGATGATGGCAGTCGTTACTGATGACGACGGCGATGATGATATTGCGTATTCCTCTGGTGATGACAATGTTCCTGCTGCTGCTGCTGATGATAACAAATTAGAATTTAGCAGTCGACATAGAAATTGTGAAAACACACCTAAGCATGACATCATCCACATACCGCGTATCAAGTTCCAGAACCCCTGTCGCGAATCCGCGAAGAGTAAATGCAACTGTTTCACAGCCACGCAATAATCCCCCCCCTCCCCTTCATTGAAGCGTGTTATGTCAACATACCGGCAATATTTTCTTCCCCGCTAACCAGCAACGGTCTCAATGCTCCGTTTTGTCCGCCCTACGCCACCCCCCACGCACGCCCCAGGTCCCTGCGAGGTGAAGAGCGCCTCTGTGTCGCCCGGACGTCAAGCCGACGCCGGTAGGAGACGCGCGCGGCGATAAGCACACGGGGAGGCAGTGAGTGGCGGTAGCCGTCGAGGACGCCGGCGGTGCAACTGCGCCGGAGCCCCACGGGGCCACGGAAGGGGCCCCAGGCGCCGGGCTGCAGGCGTTGTGGAGGAGGCGGTGGGGGGGAGTTGGACAGAGGGTCGCCCCCATTTCATTCCTTGCAACAGCACGCGGCCCCGATGCCAACCACGCTGACGCCACTAAAGGTGGTGGGAATTAACCAAATTCAATTTTGGAGCCGAAAACAACAAATCTCAGCGCTTGCCGAGTGCAGTGGGAATTGTGCCCGGCTGTACTACATAGTCATGGGGGTGACACGGGGAAGGGAAGCGGTAGGTGGTAACATTTGAAATTAAAACTTTTGTCCAAGCCACTGTGGCCTGAACACGTGACCTCATTGACCGAGCGCGTTTGTTGCTTCTTACAGAGGTTTTGCGGTTCGAGACACATGGCTGCCCTGGTTAATGTTGCGCGTGTATTAACACTGCGTGTGCCGGCGTCACAGTCAACGTTTGCCAAATTGCAGTACTCAATTGGAAGGACACACAGCAAGCACCCCCCCCCCACTCCAAAGCTACGGCATAGAACGTCTGTGAAACAAAGCGCATTCATGATAGCCTCACATAAGCATGCCACCAACATAAAATGCAAAATTGTTTTTATTTAAGGATGCGATTTGATGGCCCAACCTTAAACACAGCGTTACTGAACAATTTTGTTTCAATATCCATTTCAAAGATTAATCGACCGTACACATTATGTGTGTAACGCTGCATTGATTCTTCGTATCACCGTTCTTAAAAAGCCATGTCGGGCATTTTCAGTCGGTGTAACATTGTGCGTAATTGTTTCACGTGAAGTCTGCAGAGAGCAGATATTCGACGGGTCCCAGCGATTGCCATGGATTTGGATTTTAGCGAACCGTTTTTGGGCAGAAACCTCGGTCAGAACAGGAGGGCCTCACTTAGGGCAAGAGGTCACATTCCAGGGCGCAGCGGCACATGCGTAAGGGTGGAGACATTCCAGGACGTGGGCTCCAATGGCATGCACACTGCAAGACAGGGCCACATGCCAAGGGCGCTACGCCACCGTTCGCTCGCAATTTCAACGCACGTCCGACACAAGACTGCATCGCTTCCTCCAAACTAGAATTCAGACTTCCACGCCTACTTCAATATTTGTCCAAAGCATTCATTGCAGAGATCGGTGAAAGTCAACGCCAAACCCCCCCCCCCTCGCTACCTTGCTCTCCCCCCTCTCTCCTGCGGGGACCACCACCCCAACCTCCTCCGCCCCAATACCCTGACCTCAGCCGCCCCGTCTGCACGCGGAGTGTTCGTGCGAGGGGACCAGGCCGCGGGGTTCCTGCACAAGGCCGGCAGGGCCAGACGCTCACCACAGTCACGCGCCGAGCAGCTCAGTGAGTCCGTGACCCCCTCTCACCTCTCCCCTCACCTCGCACGACCCGAGCTCTGGTCTCCCCCCCCCCCCCCCCCCAGGATCGTTGGTCTCTTCTTGAGGCTTGATGTCCTCGGAAATCTGTAAGTCTTCCCCAGGGCAATTAAACGTCCTGGTTTGTGTCGGTTGCGGAATAACAATGACAACACATCGCTTGATACGATGTGTTTTTACACGTAGTTCTCTGCTCGCCCAGTGTTGTGAGATACTCTTCTTTCTTTGATATGTTCCATCTTTTATTGTACCTCAGAGGTGGCAACCCTAACCCTCACCTTTGGCTCCCTGACAAGCGAAGACAGCCCAAATATCAACCCACTGCTGCATTCGGGCCTCCCCACTCCGTGTAGGGGGTCATGGGGAATATTTGACTATAGAGGACTTTACCACGATGGTAATGGCAGGGAGCACAGGCGTGGCACATAGAAGTCCAGTACAGCAATGGATGTTGCCTCACTACCCACCTTATAGCACTTCAGCAGCCTCTGTTAGGACCTATTTTATGCATGGTGGTCAACCATCTGAACTCATATCTTATTAGCTTCGGAAATCTGATGTGATTCGGTAGATTTTGAATGATTTGGTAATTTGCAAAGTATTGTTAACTGTTATAAAGGTCATCTTTCTATCACTAATTATGATCTATTCCTCGATCTGTATGTCTCTATATTTCTACCAGTTATCTATCAATTATCTATATCTAAATAAAATGTATTTATCACTCTATAAATTATCTCTCAATCAATCTTCTAAGTATCTACGAAAGATGTGTTCCCAATTTCTGGATCAATCCGAAAAATCCTCAAATCTAGGCCCTAGGTACAAAATTTCAGATAATCCGAAAATGTGATGTCAGCTCCGTGATTTTACTGCCAAAAATGCCGGCTTTGCTTAAATGATAAAAATAAAGTCTTTGTTAAAATGATTATTTTACTGATGGAACTTTTTGTAAGAATACAAAAAAAGTTATGGAATACTATTTAAATGTACTGTATTAGAATGATTACATTTCATTACCTCAGCAATGAAAATTATCAAAATTCAATCCGGTACATTTAATGTCGAACGGACAAAAAAAATAACGAAATAAATACCGAAATTGGGCCAAAAATAAATGAAAAATGACCACTGTTGTACCGTACTGCTATGCCCTCACGGCTGTGTTCCCCGCCCTCGCCACCGCTGCACCGACCACCGCAGTGGAGTCGCGCGTGACGCTCGCCGCGGACCGCAGGCGCAGCGAGCACCGCGAGGAGCAGCTCACTCGCTGGGAGAACTGGGTCGAGGAGGAGAAGACAGGTAGGAGCGACGCGGCACGTTGTCAATCCACTGCTGCATGAGGCGCCTACCCCCACGCCCTTGGCGGGTGACCCAAGCGGGTCGGTGCGGCTTTGGTGAAGGCCGGGGAGCACAGCATGTAGGGGCATAGCGGTACGGTACAATAATGGATTTTGCTGCCCACTGCTTCGCCCCGCGAGGCCTCTGACAGCCGTGCTGGTACGCGGAGACCGCCCACACCAAGTGCTCTCCAGGCTCAAGCAGTACAGAACACTTCAGACGACTAAGCTGAGTTTGATTCGTGTGTCATGGCCAACAACAGCGATGATTATCTGAACTGGTCCTGGGCCTTCCCGAGGTCGACTCTGGCTTCAAAGTGTACCTACCTGGTGCTGCGTGTAAACATCAGCACTGGGGAGACAAAGGCGGCCAGCTGAGGTGCTGGCTACAAATCACCGCCACGTGTGCTTGCTAAAAGCCCTTGCACCAACCGCCTTGCACGGCTATGTGGCTGATCTTTATCTTCGTGTTCCCTCGCAGAGTCCTACGAACGCCACCGTGAGTCTCGCGAGCAGTGGCGTGAGTGGCACTACGACGGGGTCTACCCGCCCTACCAGTAACACCAAGACGTTGCCCTACTCGGAGGCAGTGCAGCAAGCGGGACCCCATCTGGTACCACCTCCAACGAAGACGGGTAGTGGTGGCCAGGAGAGATGTGGCATGTTAGAATGTCAAGCCCATCGTCATCGCCATCATTAACTCTCGCTGCCGTGTCTGTCTGCTGGCCGAGTCACCGTTAAAAAAAAGAGCTGTAAAGCTCAAAGGGTTATTTACGCAGATACTAAACTTCTGATAATGATTCTGATCATCAGCCATGGTCTATCCACTCCCGGATGAAAGATTGCCCAAGCTGTTGCCATTTCTTTGATCAGTGCTGTGATGCGGCAATCCGTTTAGCATTCGAACACAAGCCAGGATGACAACATTCGAACACAAGCCAACTCCACTGCTCCACCTCGGTGGTGGAAGTCCTCTCGGATGCATTCCCTCGTCTGGCTGCCACCCCATCGTTGGTCTTGACCACCATTATCTACCCGTGTCGCGATTTGCCCTCTCCAAGACCACTTACAATTCTTAACAGTCAATACGAAGTTAGCCCAAACGTGCTCCGTATCCTGTGTCAACAATGGAACCGGCGATCATGAAGGTCGTAGAGAGGCCTTAGAGGACATGCGTAAAAAGGTTATTTTGGCTAACTATAGGCTTACCACGAAACCAGCTGGCATTAAGATGTTACCCTTGCTCAAAGCAGGATGATGTTACCATTCACCTGTTACGCTTGCTTACCCAGGAAAGTCACACCGAGGTCTCACGACTATTGCTTTCAGGAGGGCCCTGCCAGGTTTTGGCAGTAGGGAGGGGGGGGTGATGCCACTCGTCATCCCAATTGAGTACTGCAATTTGCGGATAATTATTCAAATTTGGACCGTGACACTGGCACGCAACGGCCAACTCTTTCGAATGACGTCACGGGATCTTTAACGTCCACTGTCAGGCACACGCAGCGTGACACCCGCAGTATTAATCAGCGTGACCGCTGGATTCACTTTTCTCAAATAATTCCCCCAGTGGGTAATCAAACGAAATCGATTGCATGTATAGAGTATATTCATCATATTTGTGGAGAACTATATGTAATATAAAGCCAGCATTGGCATGATCAAGTAATTGCAGGGCTGCACCTTTATATATTAAATAGAAGTTATGGGGACATTGAATTCATGACTGCATGGAGCATCGTGTCATGGTTTAAAACACATCTGAAATGTTGATGCATTTTATATATTATATTAAGTAAACAGCTTTTGTGTACGTTGTACTATCATATGCAATACGATATATATGAAACTTGCTCATTTATGCAGTGTTATAAACTCATATGCAATAAAATCATAGTTGTTTTGATTCTTTAAACTCATTGATTTGGTGACTAGTGTTTTGTCAGATAAAAGTGCAAACTCGAGGGATGCCCTTTTGCATTTAAAATGTTCATATTTTTGAATTTTTAAGGACAAATTTGTTCAGATTATTATGGTTTCATAGACCATTTATATATCGTGCAATGCTTTGGCGTGTTTTAGTGTCACGTCGCACCACTTTTGGTGCCATCATACTTTCAGATCAAAACAAACTAAAAATTATTTGAATTATTTTTTGGAATAATTCCCAAATGCTTCCAGCACATCATGCCAAACGACGTGCAATGTAACCTGAAAACACAGCAGAGCGTCATCGCAAAAACTGTGTTTGGCAGCTATTCCCAGGGTTGGCCTTTGTATTAATAGAGGTTTGTTCAAATCAAGATTTTAGAGGATTGTTCGTTAGTTTCTCAGTCCGCTTGTCCTGGCGAGGGTCGCGGCGGCAGCGTGTTGAGTAGTGGTGGTCCACACCTCCCTTGCCCTGGCGACAGACTCCAGCACTACACAACGATACACTATACACTACTACAATATACACTACAATACACGACTACACGATACACTACCACACTACTACACTACACTATACACTACTACACTATACACTATACGCATCTACACTATACAATACTGCACTATACACTATTACACTATACACTACTACACGATACACTACTGTAGGGGTGTCAGGGGAAGGATTCCCACCAATAGGTGGGTTAGTGGGAGGGGTGATCGAGGAGATATAAGGAGAGAACGGGCGGGAAGAGGGGGCCTTTGGCGGGAACGAGATTGGGACGGCTGGGGACAGGTGTGGATGGAAGAAAAGGAATAAAGGACGAGACCCCTGCAATCTGGTGTCGGCTCCCCCTTTACACTACTATACTATATACTACACTATACACTCCACTATACACTACACTACTACACTATACACTACTACACTATACACTACACTATATACTACACTATACAATACTGCACTATACATTACTATACTATACACTACTACACTATACACTACTTTACACGTCTACACGATACACTACTACACTGTACACTACTTTACACTACTACACTATACACTACACTATACACTACTACACTACACACTACTATACACAACTACACAACTACATGATACACTACTACACTATACACTACTATACACGACTACACGATACACTACTACACTATACACTACTATATACGGCTACACGATACACTACTACACGATACACTACTGCACTATACACTACTACTAGCGGAAGTACCCGGCTTTGCCCGGGTGAAAAATATATTTCTTAAAAACCTTACATATATACACAGATGGGCTGCTACCCCTTGCCCCCCCCCAGCCAGGATCTCCTCGGCCGCTGTGCAGTAATATGTACGGCCTATAGTGTGGTGGGGTGTCGAGGCCTAGTACCGTGCAGAACCTCCGGCATCGCCTAAATTGCCCACCCGGCTGAGGCTGGGTACTGGGGCCGTTAACCGCCCCCCCCCCCCCCCGTGCTACAATAATACTGTCTAATCGCTATAATTTTATTATCTACCGACCCTATAATAGTAATTGCACACATTGGGGTGGGGGGGGGAGTGAAGAGGACGTGAAACTTTGATGAATTTACCCCAGAGTCGCGTGTTAATGCGTGCGCATATTTTTAAGGGGAATTAAAAATGGCGTCCACCCCGCAGCGAATGCGTCGCTACCCGTTGCCAGGGGCAACCGCCGTCCAATGAAACTGCGTATGGTCCGGCAACACACAGACAAGACAGATTTGCGATTTTATATATATAGATACACGACTACATGATACACTACTACACTACACACTACTATACACTACTACACTACTATACACTATACACTACTACACTATACAGTACAATACACGGACTCTAGCTCTTCCTGGGGAATTCCCAGGCGTCCCCAGGCCACCTGAGCGACATCGTCCCACCAGCAGCGTGTCCTGGGCTGGCCCCGGGGTCTTTGCCCAGTGGGACGTGCTGCTCGGTAGAGTTACAGGGGGAGTCGACCGGGGGGCATCCTTACCACGTGCCCCAACCACCTCGAATGGCTCCTCTCGATCCGTAGGAGGAGCAGCGGCTCGACTCTGAGGCTCTCCCGGATTACCGATCACGGAGAGTGAGGCCCGGCAACCCTGCGGAGAAACCTCATTATGGCTCCATGTATCCGCGATCTCATCCATGCGGTCATTACCCAAAGCTCATTACCATCATAGGTGAGGGTGGGAATGTAGATCGACCTGTAAACCGCGAGCTTTGTTGGAGAACTCAGCTCCCACTTCCCTACCACGGAACGGTACAGTGCCCGCAACACTGGACCCCACACAGATCAGCCGGAAGATCTCCCACTCCCACTGACCGTCACTCGCGAAAGAGACCCAGATGTACTTAAACTCCTCCACGAAGGGCAGCTATTCCCCCCTCACCTGGAGAGCACACTCCACCGTCTCCCGGAAGTGAACTATGACCTCACACTTGGAGGTGCTGATCCTCATCCCAGCGGCTTCACACTCGGCATCGAACCGCTCAAGTGCCCGCTGGAGGTCACAGACTGACGAGGCAAAGAGGACAACGTCATCTGCAAAAGGCAGCAATGTCACCTCCATGCCGCCGTACTGGATACTCTCCATACCTCAGCTGCGGCTTCATATTGTCCATGAAAATCACAAACAGGAGTGGAGACGAGACGGAGTCCAACACCCACGGTGAACGACTTTGATTTAGCATAAAAAAATACGGACATAGCTCTCATTCCGGGAATAGAGAGACCAGTTGTTATTTAAAATATATTTGAAATTACGTTTTTGGACAATAATGCAAATATTGCCGTTATTTTACATTGTATTGATTTATGATAGGGCAACATAGTCATCGGACCTTTAATATTGATCCGTTGCATATTAAATGTTAATATCGAATACACGTATAATAATGTAACAATATACTATTGAGAATTTGTAATGCATACATTTTCATTCACTCTCGGAGAGCGAATGATGAAAAGTGCGAAGGAAACCACAGCCAAGCGAGCAGGCAGCCAGAGCCAGTCCCAAGCTCTGTGGTCCTATATTAGCATGTTTGGCCAACTCCCATAATTCGTGTTAGTGCTTATAAATGTAGGAGGAAACGGGAGCTCCCGGAGAACGGGGTAACACCGTGCAGATGGAAATGAATCCACTTTCTGTACTCCCATCATACCCTGCCAAGACATTAATATGGCCACGTCGATGACCTTGGGTTGCGAATTTCACATTTGTGTGACCCATCAACCCTTGCCTCCAGAGTGTTGGATCACAGGTGTGCAAAGCCACCATAACACTATGTCGTACGCTTGTATATTGCACAAAAGTAAAAGCCAATATGAATATAATCCACTGCTGGATGAGGGCACAAGCCAGACCATGTGGTTTAGAAATCTAAAACCACTGTCCAGCCTCAACGACGCCTAAGCTTCCAAAATCTGACAAGATTTGGTAATAGGCATAAACAAACAGCATACAGTCGGGTGTAATTCAAGCGCATGTGCAGACACAAATGATAAATGTGCATACTTTTCCCTGTTGTTTTTTCAGGTGTTTGGATCATGGCAAATGTTTACAGAAACCACGGAATAATCTCAGTTATTCCCCCAGAATAATTCCCACAACCCCCGACTCCGACCATGATTTCGTAATTTGCTGTGCTTCCATTTTCTGATGGAAGCACAGCAGTGGGTCTGTAAATTTGCCGATGCCGTTGTGTTACCATTGTACGTACTGTATACACGTGCATTGCTTAAAATGGCCAAACATCTTAACACAAGACCATCCTGAAAAGTGAGCATTGACACTCGGTGAGACTTTCCTGGATAAAATATGATGACGAATAGATTTAAGAAAGCAAATCATTTACGTACATTTCCCACAACGGGGAGCCAAGTGCTTAAAAAAACAAGTTCCTTCAGTTTTCATTCTAACCGCATATAAATCTAGAAAAATACTGTAAAAGTGTGTTACTATTGGAGAAGCGTTTTTTTTTATTTAAAGAAATCACATTTAGCAAAAAATCCAGATGAGTGGCCAGAGAAATTTGTTTTAACATTCCATTCACCTTGTCTGGGGCAGTTCAGCCAAAGAGCCCTTTCTTACTTTTAAAATAACCAAATGCAAGGGCACTGATGTGCCAAGCTCCCACAGAGGCGCCTGTGTGCACCCTTGCAGACGAAAATCAGAGACGTGAGGCGTATGCAACCGCCAAAGGTTGGTCTGAATACCACTCAATCACATCCGCACACGTAAATAATCTTTGGGTTTCACAGCTAATTCGGGCTGCAGACCCGTCCAGGGTTGTTTTCACAGTGTGATGATGGCATTCCATACTAATGCTCTGCTTACTATACCAGGTAAGGTCCAACTGAGTTATGTGGCTCTTTTTCAGAAGCGACCTGGCCACAAATTATGGCACAACGAAGTGGTTTAGCATGTCGAAATTCAGAGCAGCCAAATACTCTCAACGCGCGTTTCTAAATGTGGAGGGAAAAACCGGAGGACCCGGAGAAAAGTTCACACGACCACGGGGAGAGAGACACACAAACTTCAAATATACAGGCGTCAGGGTTGGGATTGAACCCATAACCTCCTGCATACCAGGCGGGTTAGTTAACATCTCGCCAATGTGTGTCATTTTCACTGGGAGGTCTAGATTTGGGGCCGTCCATAAATGACGTCACGCAACTAGAGGGGGGGGGGTCACACATTTGTTACGATGGGGGGCGAGAGGGGGTTGAGAAATGTGACGTCACGTAAAAATGTGCAACTTTAAATAAATATAGACAACACGTTCTACTTAACTAAATAGACTTTTAAATGTTTTCTCCTACAACATCAGAGTGCATCGCCACATTAAATACGCACTACAATGACAATAGTTTAAAGCGATTTGAAGCATGTTTAAATTTTTTTGGGGGGGGCAGAGCTTTGTCACGTCATA